GACAGGTCGGTTTAAAGGCATAGAATTGAAATATCAGTGGAAAAAAAAATACTTAAACAGAAACAAATTTAAATATTACGTAGTATTTTAGTATCAGTAATTCAGTAGTAAAAGTAAATTTTTCTCAGACCGACAGATTTAAATGCTTGGAATTTAAAAAATCAGTAGTAATAGTCGGTTTTTAGTCAGACAGGTGGTTTAATTTTATGTATATAACTTTATTTTCAGTGGTAAAATTAAAGTTTTAGACAGACCACAAGTTTTAAATCCTCTCTATTTTATTACGGGTAGAAAAATTTTTATTTTTAGGCTGACACGCTGTTTAATATTTTTAATATTATATTATATTATATTATTATTATTATTATTATTATTATTATTTAACTTTGAAAATGTATTTTTTTTTGAATAATTGTTAAAGTTATTAAATATTTATAAAAATTATAAAAAAAGTAATTATTGACAAAAAAATCTGCTTTTCTTTTACATTTCATTTTTTTTCGAATAATTGCAATTATATATTATGTACATTTTATATAAAAGAATTTTTTTTGTACAATTTATCAAAGTTCTTTTTTATAAAGAGCTACATGTAGGTACATATATATATGTTGTGTCTAATGATATATGTTTCAAAGAAAATGTATTTTCAATTGAAGATAGTTTTTTCTACTCGTTATTTTATGTAAATTTAATACGCTCCTGAAATATCATTTTAATAAATGATTTTTATATATATATATTTATATGTGTATATACATATATTTTTACACCACTTATTCACCTTATTACTTTGAACTTGCACATATATAAAAGAAAGTGCTGGGAACATGCGTTTTCAACACTTAAACAGTTATCAAAGACCTTAAATTTTAAGTTCCACGACGATAGGTGAAGAGCTTGTACCATACTTCAAACGGATTGAAGTGGTGCTGCTTAAGAGTCATTATCGTGAAAATTCAACTTTTTGTTGACCCCGACAAAATCTCAGGAAAATGCAATCGTCGTCAATTTCAAGACTCCTACATATATATATATATATATATATATTTAAAGCACACGCAAATTAAAAACAACTTAGAAAAAAAATAACACACACACAAAAAAAAACTTTTTAATTTCAAAAATAAACATTTTTTTTTGTCATTCAATCTTATTACATACAATTAAAATGGAAAAAATTTCTTAAATTTCATTTATGACATTCTACCATTTGTCATTAAATTCTCACGGTTTCCAGTTTTTCTTGACTTTTGTTTTTAAAAATAAATTCCTACAAAGCCTTTTGGTCATTTTCATTTGCGTGTCACAAAGGTAAAAAAAATCTATTGCGTTCAAATATATAATTTAATCAAAAGAAAAATAATAATAATAATGAATGAATTATAAAAAACGCACTATAAAAGTGTTCTATAATAAAAGGTGCCCTTTTTAGTATAATTTAAATTAATTTGAAAATCTTTTTTTTTTTTTTTTTTTTTTTTTTGTTTTCTGGGTATATAAAGACTAATTGGTCATCATGAAAAAGTGTCTAACGTTTAAAATAAGGGAAAGATTGACGACAGATAAAATTTATCACCATCTAAAAGTCGGTTGAGGCATGACGTTAACAAAGTGACCAGCGACACGCGAATTCGTATAATTACCGGTACGTGGACGTACTTAGGCTCGCGCGCGATGCTATCTCTACAAATTAAATGTAGCAGAGCGGTAGTTTCACGAGCACGTCCTGAGTCTGACCCTCATTAAGATTTACTTAATGAAGACCTCCATTCGAGAGCTTACAGCTGGAGAAAAGGGTCCTTTTACATGTGTTACCCTCGAAAAATGCCTTTTTCAAGTGATGAACAAATTTAAATTTTCTACTTTGTCAATTATAATATAATAATAATAATAATAATAATCTTTTTATACTCTATTCATATAAATAATTAAATTTTATTTTTTTATTCTAACACATTTTTTTTAGTATTCTCACGTAGACGAAAGTGGCCGTGAATTTTTTACTACTACCAACAAACTTTATTGTTTTCATTCTTGAAAAAAAAATTATTCATTATGCATATTTTAATATAAATTATTATAATTAATTAACAATAATAAATATTACAGTTGAACGCCGTAAGTGGCGAAATCCGTAAGTGCGAGGAATATCCGCAACTGACGAGTTGTTTTAGTACCGAATTGTCCCACACTGACGAGCGCTGCAGTATGATTTCAGTGCTAAATGTATTCATGTACTGAGAATTTGAAAAATCATATTATAATAAAGTACATTATATATTTTATTCAGTAGATAACACAGCTTATCAAAAAAAAAAAAAATAAAAAAATTTTGCGCCTGGGTTTTCTATTATTGTTTTTCTATTTATTATGCACCAAAATAAAGGAAAAATATACATATTCTTCTTAAAGTTTGCTTTTTGCAGTAGTTATGCTAATAATACTAGAGTTTTAAATCTTTATAGTTAGAATAAGTCGATTTAATATATTAAAAATTTGAAACTAAGCGCGGTAAAAGGAAAAATATTTTTACATTCACACGGTACCTACAGATGGCTCTCGAGTCGCAGACAACGTATATTATTGTGTACAAGTCTGTCAAAGAGGTTAAATCGCTTAAAATAAAATAAAATAAAATGTAGTTCGCTCAACGCCACAGGGAGGGCGAACATCATAACTGTTTCTCGCAGTTGAGGTGCCATTAGATTGCTATATAAGCAGTAATCGAAAATTTTTTCTTGTCGAAATTTTTTTCTGCCCGATGTCTCTCCTATTTATTGGATTTGAGAAAAACTCTTTTTTGGAAGAAATGGTTTCACTAATACTTTGATGGCCATTTTTTTATTTTAATTTAATTATTAAAAATAAAATAAAATAATAATAATAATAATAATAATAATAATAATAACTATTAAAAAATAATAAAAATAAATTTTTTTTTTAAATTATTATTAAAATTTTTAATATTGGATAATTATTGGTTGCCAATAATTTGCCAATGATGGTTGCCAATCCTTGGCATCGGCGTGGACAACCCATGACTTTACCAATAATGGTCCATTATTGAAATTATATTGGCATCCCTGGCTCCCATTATTGGGCCATTAATACGCCAATGGTATTTTTCCCATTGGGTGTCGATAAATCTAGCACATACAAATAATAATAATAATAATAATAATAACACGATAATCATAGTAAAAAAATTGTAAACTTTAATAACCTCAAAATAATTACACAGCTCTACAAGCTTTTTTTTGATATCAGAGTAGTTTCCAATGTATTTTTGTCTGCTAAACACGATCCCGGGTTCCAAAATTACGTATCACGTCAGAATTTTGAGTAAAAACTGTTTTTTAACTAAAAACCAATTTTTGGGGTCTTTACCCTCAGTTTACTTAAGTACTGACGTGATACGCAATTTTGGAACAAAAATACATTCAAAACCACTCAGATAAAAAAAAAATAAAAAGTCTGATTTTTGTAGACTTGAGTTATATTATCTTCAATTATTGATTTCAAATCTGAAAACAGATTTTCAAAATCTCAGCTTTAAAATGGTGATAGAATTAAAATAAAATTTTTTTATTAATTTTTCTAAAACTTGTTACTTACAATACAGTAAATAGAAAGTCTTATTTTCAGTCAGAAAAGGTGTCTTATTTTAAGAGGCAACATTTTTAAGACAGCCCTTGCTGAATCTAAGCTGTAATGATAGTTAGAAATCGGCCGGTAAATATTTGTACTAAATATTATCGAGCGTCGATAAACATGTTACCGACCGCGGAGCACAAAGACGTAGTACCCGATTTCGCCGCGCGGTCCGCATCGCCAAAGCTCACTCGCGTGCGCGCAGCCCACCGATCGGCTATATAAGCTGCGCTCTCGCTGAGGACCGTCACTCTCGTACTACACGGAGTCCGGGTGGGTCTTACCCACTTGACTAGGAGTTTTACTCCGAAAATCTTTGTAGAGAGTTTTACTCTCGTTCGTCGGGTTTTACCCGTCGAACATTACATCGGTTTTGATATGTATATAGTGTATAGTAACGAATTGTAAAGTAACGTAATGTATAGTAAAGAATTGTAAAGTAACGTATCAAGAGGTAAAGTAACGTAACAAATCTATAGTAAAGAAATATTGTATTCCCGCTTTTTGAAGTAAATTTTCCGTTTTATTACCGTTTGTAGATATACTTAGAGTTTTACTCTTCGTATAATCAGAACACGAGTTTTACTCGTAGTTCACCAGAATATCGCGAATTTTTAGGCAGTATTGCAATTGATTTCACGGCTCATCGCAGCAAGTTGAAGCCGATTTCGTTAAGGCTGCGGGTCAAATAAGCGACGTTACCAGATTGATACCGATTCTCGATTCCGCGGCTCAACATATCGCGATAGACGCCGACAATCGTTGTGTGAAACCGACTTCCGCGATTTATCTGTACGCCTGTATATTTTCGTCACCTGTAAATACCGTTGTAAATAAATAATTTGTTTCCGTTTGTAATTAACCCGTTATTATTATTGTGTTATTATTTTTGTTGGAATCAAAACGAACCCTGGCTTGGCGTGCTAAAATATTGATTCTACAATATGGCGGTTACAATATAACAAAATTTGAAATTTAATTTTTTTTTAATTTGTCTGAATATTTTTTAAATTTTATTCTTAATTATTTTTTTTTTTTTAATTTAAGATTACTAATTACGAATTAGACAGATTTTGAAAATGCAATATTGTAATATCATGCAAAAAAATCTTCACCTGGAACAGCGATATATTTCACTAAAATAGTAAAAGTTTTCGCAATTCTAGAGAAAAATATCGCTGTACCAGATAAAAATTTTTTTTCTGTATAAGTTTCAGATTAATTAATAAAAAATTCATTTCACAGTTTAATATTATTAATGTGGAAAATAATAATTTTTTTTTTAATATTTAAATTTCAAAAATGACAGTTTAAAAAACATTTTTCTGCTATTATATCATTCACAGGTATCGTGGGTGAGGAAAAAGGATTCTCACATTCTATCAGTGGATAGAGCAATGTTCATCGCTGACGATAGGTTTCAGTCGATATTCGTGGAAAATGCGGACACATGGAAACTTCTAATAAAATACGTCCAAGCAAAAGACGAGGGCGAATACGAATGTCAAATTTCAACGGAACCAAAAATGAGTCACATCATCAAGCTGAATGTCGTTGGTACGTTATTGCATTTCTTTTTTTCCCAGTACCTACATAAATATATATATATATTTTTTTTTTGGATTAATAAAATTAATTAACTTTTTTTCATTCACCTATAATAGAATTTCAAAAATAAAAAATATAGAAACAATAAACACGGTCATTTAAAATATAACAATAAAAGTTCAAAAGTGGAACATTATTTTCTTTTTCAAAAGCCTTTATAATAAACTTTCATCTCTGTAAAAAAAAAAATAGCAAAACTGTAGTTAGGACTTGAACGACCGACAAGTTATAGTTGTAATAATGATTTACCTTAAAGTTAAGTCATAATGTACAGAAACATGCTTGGCTTTTAATGTTACTGTTGAATGGAAAGTTCAAAAAAAAAAAAAAAGTAATAAAAACATAAAATAGAGCAATAAATATAGGAAGCTCTTTTGTTTGAATATAATTTTTTTTTTCCCAAAAAAAAAATATTTTAATTATCGTGGGACTTTTAAAAGCACAACAGAGAATCTTTCTTTGTATATATATATATGTGTGAGAAACACGGGATATATGTGATATTCGCGGTAAAATATTTTTTTTAATGTATACGAAACGTGAAACACTGTTTACGAGAAAAACTGTGGAGATTGCAATGAATACTGTAGGTATTACTGTTTACGAGCCCTAAGGGATACCCCACAGTTCTGTTGGATCAAGTTTTATGAGTTTCTTTTTCTTTCAAAAACTCCAAATTGCATTTTAACTATTAAATATATAAATTGAAATTTCTTTTTTTATTTTTATAACTCATATCCATCATATAAAACTAGAAACTATAAAAAAAAATATTTGCAATGTAAAATAAAATTTGTGCATGTTTTTTTATTATATTACAAGATTGATTTATACTTTTTTTAAAGTAATATCTAGAAAAAGAAATATTGAAAAAAAAAAATTAATATTGGGATGTTCGTTGCGTTGCTGGAAAACGTTGAAAATTTGTTTAAATATTGAAAGTGGACTTTTTGTCCAACTCCCACCAATCAGTGGTGGCGAAATTTAAACACAGTGGCGAAAAATGGTACTACTGAAATGATGAGCCACGCCCCCAGCGGACATCCCAATAATAGAAAACGAAATTAATAATAATAATAATAAATTTTGTGAAATTGTATTTATGTTTTTAGTGCCAAAAGTCGAAATCGAAACAACAGAAAAATTAAAGGGAGATTTATTTGTGAAAAGTGGAAGTACAGTAACACTGCGATGTGTTATAAAACAATCTCTCGAAGATCCCAGCTTTGTACTTTGGTTTCATAAAGGCGAACGATTGCTAAACTATGACGGTGGAGATAAAGTGCAAATTTTAAAGAAACATGTCGATGGCATTACAGACTATATCAGCAATCTTATTATACCCGATACAAAAAAGCAGGACTCAGGAAACTACACTTGCACTCCAAATAATTTGGGTAGCGCCAGTGTTATGCTCCACGTGCTGAATGGTAATTTTTTTTATGTTTTAAATTTTTTTTTTTTATAAAGTTAAAATTTTTTTAAATTTTAATTAATCCCTTCGCAGTCTAGTAGAAAAATCGTTTGTGGGCCCAAAACGGTCTAAAAGAAAAGTTTTCAAAAAAAATATCATATTATCGTATTAAAAGTTTTTGGGGTCGCTGAATCCAAATTTAAGATCAGATTTACAAAATTCAAAATGGCGGACCCAATATGGCGGAAAAATTTAACGTTGATTCGATTCGTTCAAAATTTAGTACTCGGGGGTTTTTGGGGTCGCTGAATCCAAATTTGATGTCAGATTTTAAAAATTCAAAATGGCTGTCCCAATATGGCGGAAAAATTTAAAATTGATTCGATTCGTTCAAAATTCGGTACTTGGGGTTTTTTTGGGTCGCAGAATCTAAATTTGAGGTCAAATTTGGATTCAGCGACCTCAAAAACCCCCGAAAACCAAATTTTAATCGAATCGAATCAATTTTAAATTTGTCCACCATATTGGGTCCGCCATTTTGAATTTTTAAAATCTGACCTCAAATTCGGATTCAGCGACCCCGAAAACCTTAGTATATCCATTGACACTCAAATTAAGTTATGTTTAGTATTTTTTTTCTAATATGGACATATATATGTCCAAAATCACAAAGGTGGCACGATTTTTTTCGGACATATATGGGCCATCGACTGTCAAGGGGTTAATTAATTTTTTTTTTGTCAGATAAAACATAAAATTTTAACATATGAATAATTCAATTTTTGTAGTATTTTAAGGGATTCTAAAATTTTCACCACATTTACCTAATGAATAGATAATGAAGCATTTCCTCATTTAATGAAAATTTAAAAAGAAAATCAATTAATAATTTTGTTATAGAAGCAAATTTCTATCAACTAATATACTATTTAGACAATTTCCCCTTTAAATAATATATACGTCGAGTAATATCGACCGCAACTGCAAGCCAAATAAACTTTATTAATATTGTTTGTAAAATTATTTATGTATAGAATATAGTATATGAAATATATTCTCATATGAAATATTTTCACTTAAAAATAATTTTTCAATTTTCATAATTGACTTTTCATTAATGAAATTTGATTTTAAAAAAATACCTTCTTATATTGCAACCTAAGATAAAAAAAGTTTCTCATTATGATTGCATTATTATTTTTTTTTTTTGTTATTTATGTTCTTTTTTTCCAAATTATTTTTTGTATTCACTATTCGTTATTGCAATCATATATCTAATTTAAAAAAACATTTCTATATTTTTTATATTTAGAGAAAAAAAAATTTTTTCCTTCAAAGAGCTAAATAAACATTTATTATTTGTTAACAAATTTTATTTTTGTTAAATAAAATTTGATTTGTGTTTAATACAATCTTTATTTAAAATAAATTACTAGTTCCGAGGCAAATAACTATATTTTTGTTTAATTTAAATACATTTTATTTATTCGAATAAAAAATTTCTTTATATATTCGTGAACTGTATTTGCGTATGTAAATATATACGTTATTTATTTAAAAATATATGAAATATAAATGAAATAAAATGTAAAAAGTAATTACTGTCAAGCAAATTTACAAATTTCAAAGTCCGGTCATTTTTTTAACAATTTTTTATTCATTTTGGTTTTATATGGAAATTGTGAAATAATTCAAAAGTCATTTTCTCGCATAGAAAATGAAAAATCTATAAACCAATATAAATTTATATGTCATTTTTAAATATTCAATTTTCATTTCCAACTGAATTATAATGTTAATTTTTGTACAAGTGAAATTTGTGATTTTAAAGTCGAATATATATATTTTATTCTTTTGCAATATACATAATTTAATGCAAAATTCGATATTTTATTCATATACAAAGTATATAGAGTGTTGTAAATCATATAAATAATTTATTGAAAAATTTATATTCCTAACTTTTTTTTTTGTAATTTTGAAAAAAAAAAATTGCAACACTTGTGTATGGGAATAATCTAAGTCACTTTAAACGTCACTTTGTTGAAAATATTTAACAAGGTCACAAGTCGTTAAGAACGAGACCAATTTAATTTTTCGTGTCTTTGAACAGCTTAATGAAAAAATCGATTGAGTAAGCAGTGATGCGATTAATTGCATGGCAGGTCATTCTATTTTTATAAAAACAGACTTTTTCTTACAGGAGCACTGCCCTTTATATATTTACAAGTATATTTACATAGCACCAATATATACATAAACTTTTCAGAAAAATATTTTCTCGTTCATTGAAATATTTATGAAGAAATTCAAAAATCCTCAAAAATTAATTCAATGAGCCACGAGACAACATTAAAAAATTTTTAATTTTGATCAAAATTTATCGCAAGTAGAACAAAAATTAGATTAGATCAAAAAATTAATATTCAGCAAAATAGGATAAATCACAATAAATAGACATCAATAATAAATTACAAAATAATATGCGCCACTGTTCGACGATAATAATTTCAATTACGCTAGGGTAAGTGAATGAATTACTGCTATATGCTGATATTACTGCTGATTACTGCTGATATTTGAAAAGATTTAATTTTTATTAAAAAATTTATTTGGTATCATGACTAGATCGATACTGGGGGATTCAAGCGACATAATTCAATAAAAATTATAAACATTTTAAATATTAACATTTTTAATTGGGACAACACATGCTCGTAATCGTGAAATTATGAGGAATGTGAATATGTTAAAAAAAAATTAAAAATTGTTAATATTAAAAAATTTCAATTAAAAATCAATTAAAATTCAATTATTATCCAAAATTTCAATTCAAAATCATAAAAAATTCAATTATTTTAAAAAATTTTCAATTTAAAATCAAATAAAATTCAATTGTTACCCAAAATTTCAATTCAAAATCAACTAAAATTCAATTATTTTCCAAAATTTCGAGTCAAAATTAATTATTATCAAAATTTTCAATCAACAATCAAATAAAATTAAATTATTATCAAAAATTTCAATTCAAAATCTAAGAAAATTAAATTAAAAAATTAAATAAAAAATTCGCGCCAATTACTGCGATTTTTATAAAATTAGTAAAACTTAGTAATTGAGAGCATAAAACTGTTTCAAAATGACTTTAAAACTTATTCCAAATGATATTTGATATTATATCCACTAATGATGCATATATTTCGACTATTATCAAATTATTTATTCAAGTTACAATTGAACCTAACACAGTAATTAGAGCATGAGTATATTTTTCTCATGCTGCTATTACTGTGGTCTATCCAGTCAACCTAATCTCTAAATCAACACTTTTAGCGTTGCAGTAATTGGTGCACACCATTCGTAGTAATTCATGCAAACTTGCAGTAATACCAGCATATGCCATTTTTAAAAAAGTTAATATTTTTAATAATATATTTGTTATTTCTTCAAGTTTAAAGTATCGTTTCTATTTTAATAGACACTAATAGTGATTTAACAAAAAGAATCAAATCATTATTTCATTTACACTTTTATTATTTTTGTCATTAAAGTCGGTCTTGGGTTGTACATCACAGTAATTGAGACATTTACCCTACGCTAATTTTTTTTACAATAAAAAAAGAGAGATTTCGTTTTAAAAACACGAGGCCCGATAATGGCCACAAAAGATATTACAATTGATGTACATCTTCATTTTTAATTTTGATAAATTTAATTTAAAACATTTAATAAATAACACTGAGAAAACTGGATTATATTATAGGGAGTATTAACTGGTTAATACCGTTTATCATATTTTCACATTAACTATAGGACAATTAACCTGGTTAATAAAACTGATTAACAAAGAATTATATACTTTTGAGATTAATCCTGGTATTAATTTGGATTATAAAATAAATGTCAGTGCAGTTGTGGTTAAGTTAATATATTTTGCATAAGAGAAATGTAACGGATGATTTTGAAAGGTTAAGAAATAATAATTAATTGAAATACAAATAAAAAAATTGTACTTAATTAATGGGGTATGGCTAAGATTTTAAGTTAGTCTAATACCTAAAAGACTGCCAAGTTTCAGTTAAATCGGTCAAGCCGTTTATGCGTGATTGGCGAACAAAATATTGTGCAGACAGACAGAAAGAATTTTTTGTAATGCTATTTTTAGGGGCGATTCACGATTCGCCGCCAACTCATCCCCGTGTACCTGCTCAGCGGCAAATTTTCGTCCCCGTATGTTCCCCCACTACCGGCCGTACTGTACCCCTCCGTTCAGTTCATTTTGGGTAACAATTGAATTTGATTTGATTTTAAATTGAAAATTTTTGAAAATAATTGAATTTTCTTTGATTTTGAATTGAAATTTTGGATAACACTTAAATTTTAATTGAAATTTTGGGTAATAATTTAATTTTAGTTTATTTTGAATTGGAATTTTTGAAAAAAATTCAATTTTATTGCGATATTTTTTGAAAATTATAAACAATTGTTAAATTTTATAAAAATTTTATTTGAAAAATAATTTTGAAATAATTGAATTTGTGATGAATTTCATTAAAATTATTAAAAATAATTAATTTAATGAAGAATTATTTTAGTTCAAAATTTGTTAAATAATTGAATTGAAGAAGATCTGAAGAAGATCTACATTTTATACTAAAAAAATGTATTTTATTAAAATTTTCAATTTAAAATCAAATAAAATTCAATTGTTACCCAAAATGAACTGAACGGAGGGGTACAGTACGGCCGGTAGTGGGGGAACATACGGGGACGAAAATTTGCCGCTGAGCAGGTACACGGGGATGAGTTGGCGGCGAAAAGTGGTCTGCCCATTTTTAGAATCCTTATAACTTGAAACAAAGAATTATACATGAATTTTTAAGTTCTAACCAATGTACAGACAAAAGTCTAATTTTATTAATATAGATTAATCAGATTATACTCTGTATTAACTATTTTTTTATTATCCTAATTGAGAATACCATGCCTTCTCTACGGAAGCCGGTCGCTGGAAAAACGCTCTAACCTAACCCGTAGCATGCGCGCCAGCTATCATCAACTGACGCGATATGGCGCGAAATCAATTCAAATTCAAATTTTTACACTAAATTCACAAAAAGTTTAACATTCAATTTTTTAACACTTGGATCACAAAACAAAGTAATTTTAATAATAATAAACATTAATTTACAATTATTAATTTTAATAAATTAATTCAGATTCTTTTATAATTAAGTTTTTCAATAATAGAATTTTTAATTTTTTTTAACCATATTTATGTTTAAAGAATAAAATAAATAAAATAAAACATTAGAAATAAATAAAAAGTAATAAATATTATATTACATTTATCTATCAATGTGACACATATATATAAAAGTGAAAACGTGAATTATGTCAGAATCATCACAATTTTCAGTATTGTATTTGTTAAAAATTTTATGTTGAATTTCTCAGAAAATTTCTGTGTCTGTGACAGGATTTTCCGATATTCTGACTGAATGAAACTTGAAACAAACTTGACAGAAATATTTCAAATGAAAAAAAAAATTTTTTTCCCAGTAAAACCATTTTATCGAAAAAATATAGAATTACAAATCAATGATTCATACATCCTTTTTAGTAATTAATTTCTTTGTTTAAAATTAAAAAAAAAAAGATTTGTTATAAAAGTTTATAGAAATATTTAATGAAATTAATCTTATATAATAAATATATAATAATAATTTAATTCAATACTTTTTCTTCTTTTTAATTTATTATGAAAATTAAAAAAACAAATTGTTATAATAATAATTATTATTACTATTATATATATATATATGTGTGTATGTAAATATAATACTTAATAATATTGAATTAAATTGAAATAATGCAAAAAATTTAAATTATTATTATTATTATGAACTGCGATGTGTAATTAAAGTTAACTTGCCCGATTACTTTTATGTAAATATTGCCCTAGATTTTATTGAAAATTCAGTAAATATAGAAGAAAGTCCATTTTTATCGTTTCTATATGTATATCTATTCGCGATAAAATTTAAAAACCCCCTCATATATTGATTTAGTTTGATAGACTTTTTTAAACGATGTATTTTACAACTTGAATTCTTAAAATTATAAAATCATAAAGTTTTCTGCGTTTAAAATTTGATGTTTGGAGGGGGGCGAAGGGAGAGGGAGGGGGGAGGGGGGGGTGAAAACCTTTGAAACTTTTATACTAAAAGCTTTCAAACTTTGAAATTCAGTCTTCCACTTTTAAAGATTTATTGGAGCATTCTAACTTGAGAAATTCAGAAAACAAAGCAGAAGTACATATTTTTGTTAAACACACTTGAAAAATAAGTTTTTAACCGAATTTTTTTTTTTTTTTTGTTTTTTCGTAAAGTTTGTTTATATACTTTTGAAAATAATTTAATAAAACAAACTTTCTTCTCAGAAAACCTTTAAATTACATTAATAATGTTTTTTTTTGATAATAATTACTTGGGTAAAAGAGATCAACTTTTATTATTATTTTTCTTTTTTTTTTTTTTTTTTTGAAAATGAGTGAAATTAAAAAGTTTTTATTTCTCTGTTATTTTAGGAGAACATCCAGCAGCAATTCAACGTGGAAAAAGCTCAATTCCCGGTTGTTGTGAAGTACTCTGGTGGTTGGCGGGAGGAGTGACATTATCTCAAAATAACAGTAATCGACTTTTAATTTTTGTGCTCACGGCAATGATGGTAGTTCTTACCCAAAGTTTTTTACCCTATCCTGCAAGTGCAGTGCCACGATAATCAAGAAGCTTAAAAAAAAAAAAAAAAAAAAAAAATGCAAATGATAACTATATATATATATGAACAATTTATCATCTACAATCGAAATCTCTCGACGTAACTCGAGTGAAAACTCGCGCAGGAGTTTTAAAAGTTGAAAAAAAAAAACTTTAAAAAAAATAAAACATGATTCTTTTTCACGGACTACGGTATTCATGAGACTGGAAATCACGTACTCGAATGTATCGTGTAACCTAGGACGAAACGCCTAAAAACTTTGGCGACAATTAATCATAAAAAAAAAAAAAACGATGATGATGTGAATGAGGAATACAAATGATACGTCTAGATATATATATAAAGTATATGAAAAAAAAGAGATAAATGTAAGAGGGAAAGAAATAAAAGGCGTATACTACGAACAAAAAAAAAAAAAAAAAAGGGGTACCCTACTTCTGCCATATATTTACAAATTATAATGTGTTTTAACGTAAATCTGCGATGATGATTTTTTTCACGCTCGATTTTAATCGTTGTTATAAAATAAAAACAGGGAACGAGATGAAGAAGTGTTTTTTATTTTTAACATATTTATATATTTATTTATATATATATATGTATAGAATTTATAAATATAATATTAAACAAAATATTTATATATTCTATATATATTTATGTATATTTAATAAATTCTAGTTGACAAATTTTACTTCTTACAACATTTCTATCTCTGTTAATGGTGCTTCTTTATTCGAAGTTGTACATAATTTATTTATCATGTTTGAAAAAGAATAAAAATTACTCAAAGAATAAGAAACTTATTTGAAACGTTACAAATTACCTTAATTTATAATAAATCGTGTTTTGGAAAATAAAAAAAAGTAAAAAAAAAAGATTTATATTAAATAGTTATTATTATTATTATTATTTTATAAAAAGAAAATTGATATATTTATATAATATGTTAAGTCGTGTGATTTATTCTCTAATTCTTCAACTTTTAGGATATTTACCATATTATAGTCTAATTTTTTTAAAATAATTACACAAATTAAAAATGAAGAAACACAAACTTTAAAAAAAGTCGAAAACAAACTTTCAGAATACTTGTTTTTTTAAATTTTATAGAATTTTTTTTTTTGTTTCATTTAATAAAAAAGTGAAAATTTATGAAAAAATTGAAGTACGGTACCCTCAATAAAGAGGAAAAATAATTTTAAGGCGTTTCATTTGATATTGAAAGATAAAATATTGGATTTTTTTTTGTTATATTCTAGAATATATTTTTGGGCAGTAGAATTTAATTTTTTCAAATAGAACCTAACACTTCTTGATCAAAAGTTTGGAATATAAATTTTTTTTAATATTCAACACTTACGGATATCACAAAAAAAAAATTTCGAATCTCCAAGACTTCGAATATGCGAAAATTTTTAATTTATAAAAATTATAAATCGAATTTTCAAAACCTGAAATTACAGATGAAAATTAAATTTTACAAAAATTTCAAATATTCACAAGTTTAAATATTTAAAAGTACCAATTTTCAAAAATTTTTATTTTTATTGAATTAAAATTTTTTTTGAATATCTTAGTTTAATAGCTTTAGCCTTCAACAAGTTAAATATCCATACAAGTTCAAAATTTCCAAAAGTTCTAAGTTTCAAACTTTTGAAACTCCAAAAATTAAGAATTGTCAAAAGTTTTGAATATTAAAAATTTTCAGTAAAGAATAATTTGAATATTCAAAAATTTGAATTTTTTATAGTTTATATTTTTTAAAGTTTGCAAATGTTAAGATTTTCACAAAATTTTAATATTCAAAATCTTGATTATTATTATTTCAGTATTCAAAAGTTTGAATATTTAAATACTTGAATTTTCAAGAAGTTAAATATTTATACAACTTTGGATATTGAAAAAATTGAATTTTCAAATTTCTTCGAAGTTTCAAAAGTTAGAATTTTTAAAAATTTTCAATATATTCTACATTTCGAATATTTTTAGAATATCCAAAAATTTGAAAAAGCAAATGATTGAATTTTCAAAAAGTTAGAAATTTACAATTTTGAATTGTAAAGTTTGAATCTAATAAAATTTAAATTTTTTGATTTTGGAGTTCCAAAAGTATTAATATCCAAAAATTTTAATATCCAAAAGTTATAAATTTACAAATTTTTGAAATCCAAAATTTGAATCTTCAAACTTTCTTGAAAGTTAAAAGATTACAACTTTGGATTTTAAAATTTCAATCATCTAAATTTTTAATTTTTAGAATTTCGAGTTTGAAAAGTATCAATATCCAAAAATTTGAATATCCGAAAGTTATAAATTTATAAATTTGAATTCCAAAAATTGAATCTTTGAAAATTTGAATTTTTAGAACTTGAAGATGCAAAAGTTATAATTTTCAAAAATTTGAATATCCAAAAGTTATAAATTTATAAATTTGGATTCCAAAATTTAAATTTGCAAAAATTTTAATTTTCAGATTTTGGAGATCCAAAAATTATAATCTCCAAAAGTTTTAATATCAAAAAATCCGAATTTCCAAAGGTTATAAATTGTACAAGTTTGAATTCAAAAATTTTAATATTTAAAAATTTTGAATTTTTAGAAATTGGATTTCCAAAAGTTGTAATTTTCAAAAATTCGAATATCCAAAAGTTTGAATTTGTAAATAATTTTAATATCTAAACTTTAAATATCAAAAATTTTGAATCTCTAAACGTTTTTGTTTTTCAATGTGAATTTTATTCTAGGAGTCGATCACGTGACTTTTTTTTTCTTTTTTCTTCACTTCCTATATCCCACTTTAGACTTTTAATTTTTAATATTCCACATCCCACTTTTTTACTTTTGTAAAATGAAATTGAATGTATAAAGTGAAAATTACGTTATTGCAAATAACTACAAAAATTTAAAAACAAAATTGCAAAAATCTAATGAAAACAAAACTTTTTTTTTCTAAATACCTAAATTTCAGAATATATATATATATAAATAAATCGAAACTCTGATGTTTCAATTTCAAATGGAACGCCTCTTTTACGCTTTAATCTCACAACTGTCTGATCCGGCCGTTAGCAAATAGAGATTTATCTGAATTTATGAATCCCAGTGGCGTGGAGAATATTCGAAATGCTTAAAGCTCATAATTCGCCACGATAAGCGTTATATAATATATACATATATAAATAAATATATATATATAGTATATATTTATTTAAGTGATTGCTCATTTGTATATAATAATTATGGACGGAATCAGAACGCCGCAGTAAAATTTTTCCGCATCGTCGTACAATTATGTTAATAAGACACTGCGGTAAGGACGTATGTGGGCCGGGAACGATAAACTACTCCAAGAAAACGTGAATCGCATAGAGAGAAAAAAAAAAAGAAAATAACTTCACCGGGAGCTTCTATTCCATTACCACTTTGTGCTTTTCATTCTCCATTTTATTCAACTGATTTCTTTTCCCCCAAAAAAACCCTACTATCTATAGATATATTTTTCCGACCCGATATATATATAAAAAACGTTTAAAAATCTTCCTTGAAGAAAATAATTGAATCCCATTGAAACCGATTGATACATTTCAATGACTCGGAAATGGGTCAAACGCGCTTTCCAATAGGGATTCAATCTTGGTTTTTTTTTTTTTTAGCAAAATAAAAATAAAAAAATAACCATTTTATTCGCAAAGATATTTTTCCAACTAATTGCAAAACTTTACATTCAACTTTTATGTTTTCGTTTCTAATTCAGTTTTCTCCGCAAGTTTTTAATGTTCTTTTTTTTATGTATAAGAAGAATTTCTCATCAGTCATAATATAATTCCAGAATTTTTTCTTTTTTTCTTCAACAATTTCTTTCATTTTCCGCTGTGAATTTGATTTTCTCGATGGAAGAAAAAAAAAAAGTTTTAAAGGTAAACCAAACCTTTTAAATATTATTAGATTTAAAAGTTCTTCAAATTTTTTTTTTTATACATCTGTTTTGTGAGTTTACTTTGCTGAAGTTTGAAAGAAAAATGAAAATGAGAAAATTACCTATATACTCGCCTTTGGGCCATTGTTTTTCCACTCATCGATACGTCTTCATATATATGTATATATATATATATATATATCTCGTAAAATGTTCTTGAGGAAGAAGCAAGGAGACCGGCGAGTTACCTTACGAGCTCATAACGTCTTTACGTTTTTTATCTTCCCTGCTGTTCCTCAATTAATCTACCGAATAAACTTTAAAGTTCCTGCCCCCTTTAGCAGTCGTATATTATTTCTGAGCTCAGCTTCACGAGAAGAGCCGTCCCGAACATGCTTTCGCCTCCGTAAACTTCTACCAAAGGAAGAGAATCGATTTTGCAATTAGGCACGCCATGATGCTTCCGTTCCTTAACCGGAGAATTTCAATTCAACGACGTTTCCTTGTCGGTATATAAGAGTCAAGTCATTTTTGGCAGCAGGAAATCATAAGTGAGAATATTTCGTTGTAACTTTAAAAGAAGACTATGTAAATTTTCATCCGACTTTTGGGAAATTCAAAAAAAAAAATTCTTTTCTTTTTATCTCACAGAAAAAAAGGTGGGTAAACAGTTGTAAAGATAGAGGATAAAAGTCGTTAGGATACAGGGTAAAGGATAAATTTGTGATGGATAAAAATGTTACTAAAATATTACTAGAAAAATGGATGTCATATTTGAGTAAACTGTCTAATTTTAATAAAAATATTAGTAATTTTACACTTAACTTATTAAATCCACAAATTTTATATAAATAAGTAATTGCACGTGGAAATATTTTGCCTATAATTATTGTCTATTAATAAAAATATCCTTGACTAATACAACTGACAGCTGACGACAGTGCGTAAATAATCAGAACTGGGAAATTACAACTCAACGTCTGTATTGTTGCACGAAAGCAGAGTTGGGTAGTAAGTGAATTTTTTGTGCATATTAGGCTGTGTCAGTTCATCGAGATATTTCGAGTTCAAGATATGACGTCAGAGGCCTGGAGGGACAACAAACAGACGACACAATGTTATTCTTACGGGGAAGAAAATTTGTTTCCACTTTCATCAATTTTATTCATACTTTGAACATGGAAAACGCTTGTTGACATCTAATAAAATTAAAATGTGTGTTGATAATTAATTTTGTTATATATTTGATTCAATTGCATTTATAGATTCTCTGATTTCGTGATAAAATATAAATATTGAGGTTAGAAAAGTTTATTTACTAATCACATTTTACATTTTAACATTATTAAACAATATCCAGTATGCATGTTATTAACAAAGATATAAAATATATATTTTCAGTGGGAATTACCGCAGCAGTAAAAGATTTCAAGTTAGTAAACAAACACCCCTAACCTCAAAATTTATATTTTATCACGAATTCAGAGAATCTATAAATGCAATTGAATCAAATATATAACAAAATTAATTATCAACACA